TCTACAAACCACATGTGATAAAGCCCAGGATAAACAAACAGATTTAATTACATAAAATTAGCCACTCATAAGGAGTATTGCAACAATCATGAATTTTACGTCACTGTTGGTAGAATGATTTGAGACCTTAAAGTGAGGAAGGGGAAAAAATTTCATAATTATTTTATAAAACAGCAAATCAACCCAATAAGAACACAATGAACCTTAATTAGGGCAAGAGAACTTATCTGAACTCAGCACAAATGTATAAACTCATAGAGCTTCCTGGAAGTTATTACAGAATGATGTGATATATTCAAAACATATAAAATATACCTAACTAAGAACTACAGAACATTAAATTGTTTAAAAAACAGTCCATTTTCCACATAAAAGAAACTCATTATGTTAATTATTGTGGTACATCATACTATACCTTTCTTTTTTAAAAAAGAAAGAGTAAGTTAGATTGTATCTTAACGGATAAACACCTCCTATAGAAGAAAGAAACGTTTTCATACGTGCCATTTTGCACTTTTAATCATTAAAATTAATGATGTGAAATATATAAGTCATTCTGGAACTGCCCATCCTTGCATCTTAGCAAAATACTCACACTCCATGAAGTGGTCTTTTCCTTGGCTCTTCGGGAGGCAAGTGTAGTGGCTGCTATGGAAGAAGGTGATAAAAGGCGAACTTCTCCTTGCAAATGATCACGGTCTTGCTGCAGTTGGGCTGCGCTGAGTTTCTTGAGCAGGGAGTAACATGATACCCTAAGAATTTTAGGGCAGTAACAAACAGAAACTTAGCAAAGAGTAAGTGGGTGAATTTTCTCTTTCAATTAAGGAGAAGAGACAAATTGATCTGTCTGCTGTTGGCTCAGAATAAAAAACGCTTCCTGGCTTTGGCTTGTTAAGAAGGTCTAAGTCAAAATATTTTTTTAAACCCTCCCAGGTCCATTGAGGCCTCCGATGGCAGGAAGCTCTCCCTGCGCCTGGCTCACCAGCTGAGAGCCTGAATGGTTCCTGAATTCCCCTGTTCTGCACCTGTTGTAGGTGTGGCAGAGGCCCATTGTCATAGGGCCAGGAAACTCCATGGTCAAGAGTCACCAGCTTCCTCTTGGACAGTTTCCTGGATGAAGAAACCCAGGCAGGAAGGCAGCAAGCCCAGGGGTGTATGGCTCAGATGCACCTGTGGGGCGTCGGGCTCCCCCTGAGGGGTCAATGGGCAATGGACTGGTGGGCCAGGCCGTGAGGAAAGGCTCTTCTCTTTCCCATACCCCATAGTCGCATGCTACCTTCAAATGGAGGTAGACTTAACTGGAAAGTGGTAGAATAAGAGTCTGGGGGAAAAGCTCCCCCAGGAGCAGGTGAGAAAAAGTTGGAAGACTGGCAGCTTCCATAATGCAGTCTCTGTTTCCAGCCCCATTTCTCCTGAATCCTCACTATTATGATCATGATCTGCCAAATTTGTGAGGGTTGTTGGATTTTAAGATGTGAACTGATTAACTTTCCATTAATGGTAGATTGGTTAAATAAATTATAAAATAGGCCATATGATCCAGCGATTTCACTGCTAGGTAAATACCTCGGAGAAATGAAAACATAAATCCACATAAAAACTTGAACATGACTGTTCACAGCAGCATTATTTATAATACCCCCAAATGGAAACAACCCAAATATCCATTAAGTGATGAATGGTTAAATAAAATGTGGTATATCCATACAGTGGAATATTACTTAGTCGTAAAGCAGAATGAATATATTCATAATATACACTGCAACATGGAGGAACACTGAAAGCATTGTGCTAAGTGAAAGAAGCTAGTCACAAAGGACAACATATTGTATGATTTCATTTATATGAAATATCAAGAATAGTCAAATCTATAAAGACAAAGTAGATTAGTGATTGCCTAGGTTGAAGGGATTGGGGGTTGATAACTAAGGGAGATAGGGTTTCTCCTGGGGGTAGTGAAACTACTCTAAAATTTATTGTAGTGCTGGTTGCACAACTCTGTGAATATACTAAAAGCCATTGAATGTATGTCTTAAATGGGTAAATTTTATGGCACGTGAATTGTATTTCAATAACGCTGTTAAGGGCTGGCTGGTTATCTCAGTTGGTTAGAACGTAGCCTCATAACACCAAGGACATGGGTTGGGATCCCTGTGTGGGCCAGACACTAAAAAAACAAAAACAAAAACAAAAAAACAACTATAGGTATACAATGGAATACACAGTTATGAAAAAGAAGGAGGAAGCTATTTATGTACTGATGTGTAAGGATCTACCAGGCATATCTTTAAATATAAAAAGGAAGGGAGAGAGCATGTTACCATTATGTAAAAAAATGAGGAGGAAAGCATATATATCTGATTTTGCTTGTAGATGTATTAAATAGCCAGTGGAAGAATGTCCAAAGATATCAAGAACCTAATATATTAGGTTATCTGAGCTCTCGAGAGGACTGAGTAGATGGAGGGTGAGAAGCAGAATTTTCACTGTATACTTTTATGCTTTGAAGAAGTTTCACCATGTGTGTATTACTTATTCAATAATAAATGCACCCATTAATCACATGTAAATCTTTGTTAAAGTTTAATTTAGGCTCCTGCCATCTCTCGTTATGGAATGGACTGTGGCATTCCCGCTTTGCCACACAGAGATTTCTTACACTGAAGTGTGGGGTGAAAAGGGGCAGACCACAGTGGCCCTGCTCACTGTATGGCCCTGGGCAAGGCCCCTCACCTCTGTGAGTCACAGTTTCCCCATCCGTAAGGTGAAGGCAGTGGAGGATCAGCAGGATCTGATATCCTTGGCCCCGAGAAGGCAGGAAGGCAGCCTGGGGCTGCCATGGAGGACAAGCACTCGATGGGAGGTGTCTGATCCTGTGGGTTGCCATGGGAGGGGGAGGGCACGCCCAGCAGTGCATGCAGCAGGTGTCCTGTGTCCTGTGTGAAGTCAAAAGATTTCAGCATTCAGCTCAGAAGGACGTTGGCGTGGGATGTGGGGAAGGATGAGCTCCAGAAAAGCGGGGGAGACAGGAGGAAAGATGGGCTTTTGTTAAGCAACCATTCTGCCCCAGTCCAGTCCAGGTTGTACAAGGGTGTGTCCTGCGTGAAGTCAAAAGATTTCAGCATTCAGCTCAGAAGGACGTTGGCGTGGGATGTGGGGAAGGATGAGCTCCAGAAAAGCGGGGGAGACATGAGGAAAGATGGGCTTTTGTTAAGCAACCATTCTGCCCCAGTCCAGTCCAGGTTGTACAAGGGACGTGACATTTGGGAATAGTTCTGTGCCAGGAACTTTCCACAGTCTGGTTTTTATCCTTTAGAATCCTGTGAGCAGGATTGTTATTCTATTTAAAGAGCGGGCTCAGGGAAGTGACTGGCCCAATGTCACACAGATCATAGGTGCCAGAGGTGGGCTGTCTGACACCAAAGTCATTTTCCCTCCGTAGCCTGAATGTCACCTGCAGGCTGGATCCAGGGTCTCATCCAGTGAATTCTCTTGATCACTTTACCCTACAGGTTAAACTGTAGACACTGCTGAGGTACATCCATGATCTTAAAAACCTCCCTGTTGGGCAAAACTAATCTATGATGTTAAGTCAGGATAATGGATGCTCTTCAGGTGAGGATAAGTGATAAGGCGGGGTTGAGGTGGACTCTGGGTGCTGGTCATGTTGTTTCATGGGTTTGCTCAATGTGGGACAATTCATAGAGCTATATACTATGCTATACATACTTTTTTTGTATGCATGTTATACTTCAGTATAATCTCTTTCTGTTGTGTCTTTAACATGGAAAGCCCTGATAGGCAGTGGGAAAACAAAGTTTAAGGTTTATATGGAAAAATACTAACGCTGTTTTAAAAAAGCATTTACGTATTTGGTCACGGCTCCAGACACATGGTACCATCTAAAGAAGAGTGTCCTGTCCCTGGGGGTGGGGTGGTCAATATCATGGTCACCACAGGGCTGTGGGCTGCCCACCTTCTTGTGACACAACTATTTGTCATTCCTGAATGCTTACATAACAGTGAAATGGAACAACCTGTACCACACAAGGGACAAGAATTTTCTTCTGACTTGTCTGTGCCTCCTGAGGTCTCTGGTTCAGTCTGGATGAATATTGAGCTAAATGCAGTCAAGCAAAGCCACTCACCCAGTAAATATTTGTCTGAGCTACAGTTCTGGGAGAAAGTGCTGCAGTATCCTTGGGTATCTTTGACATTAGAGACCTACTTCTCCCGGAGGGCCACGGCTTTTTTTGGTCCACTGAAGAGCCAGTCAGCTTAGAAGACAACTAAATTGGGATCAAAGGTGGCAATGATGAGGACTTGATTTTCCAAAAACATTTTAAGAAGAAAAGAGACAAGTACTTTTGCATTTCAGGGGGCCATAATTGGCATTTTAAAAATGTCAACGACTAAATGCTCATATCCACACTTGGCATTCTTTCTAAAAAGAATTTTCTAGGGGAGGCAGAACTCCCCAGCCAGTTCTGATGCCCTGCAACGCAAAAGAACATTAAAAATGATGGTGAAGGGGCCCTGTAGAGAACAACGGAGCTTCTTCCTCACTCTGATCCTCCAGAAAAAGGACTCCTGCAGTCCCTCCTGGTTGAGAACACAGAATCTAGAAGTTTCTGCCTCCACTAGGGGTACAACCTTCCAGAGGACATTTTTAAAGATGCCTTCCATACTTTTTACATCTCTATATGACACCTTTGCCTTTCCTTTTAACTTCATTATTCTCTTCTCCAGTGTTTAGGACATTTAATGTCACTTACTGCTCATCTCTAGTGAGGTATGGAGGAAAGCTCATGGGTGGAACTGGAAAGCCCATGTTTCAGTCAGGGCTTTATCACTTACTAATTGTGGGACTGTGGCTAGGTCACCTCAGACAGCTTTTGTCAAATTCTGAGCTACAGACTGGTTCAATCACTGGCCCCCATCCCAATGCTTCAATGCTTTACCTACAGTAGGGCCCTGACTCAGTCAGGGCAACCAGAGCCATGCCCTGGCACTTTCCTGGCTGAACAGGAAGGAGAGTCTGGTGGTGAAACTGTTGAGGTTTGAGTCTGAGCATCACATGCCACACCTTGTGTGCCCCTCTGCAGCAGGAGGAAATTCGGCCAACCTGCAGAGAGAGGCAGAGATGGAAGACAGAAATGGAGATGAAGAGCCCAGTAAAGGTTCCCTTTTTGCTAATTCTTGTTTAAATGTGGCTCTGCATCTCAGATCCTGTGAACCCTGACTGGAAAGTAAGGATAACAAATTGTAACAACATTTGTGGAATGACTCAACAAACCCATGTGGGCAAATATGGTCACATCTCATTTCTTCTTTCAATTCATTACTTGCATCTTCGGCTGCCTGGCTAGCAGCACATGCTATATTTATCTCCCTCTTCGGGCCTTGTGGGTTGACCAGGACTCCCGAGGCTTTGTTCAGAGTGGGAAGGTGGGCAGTCTGGCTTCCTCAGCCACTGGAGAGGACTGGTGGCTGGGCAATCCTCTGTTGCTGTTGCTTCCAGCTGCCACGTGGGGCCGTGTTAAACACGGGTGATGCTGAGGGGGTCTTCAGGCTCCAAGAGTGTGCTCACAAGAGAAGGCATTGCCTCTAAACACATGCCTGCTGCTACTTCATACTGCAGAACAGACCAACAAGACTACTCTGCCCCCTCAGCTCTCTCCTTGTCCCTGGCTTCAGCCCTGGGGATATCAAAGGCCACAGTTAACAAATTGTTGGGGAAGAAGAGGGGTGGGTACAGAGGCAGAAGACGAAAGGAAAATGCCAGCTGAGCTCCTCACTTTCTCAACTGCAGTTCTCCTGCTGGCTGAGGCTTGAGATGGGAGAGAGAAGAGCCTCAACCTTAAATCGAGCTCAGCATTTTAGTTATGATGTAGGATTGCACATCTTAATTACTGAATTAAGACCATGTTTTCCAACCTTACATGATGGTAGGACAGGGAAATATCAAACCCCACAGTGTGTGGGGCCCGCAGAATAGGTTTAAAGAAACAGTAGGAGCAAAAATAAAGTTGGATTGCTATTACATCCCATGAGTCTTGTCACAGGATAATGGTTACAGATCTTGTAAGGATAATGGTTACAGATCTGAGATGCAGAGCCACATTTGAACAAGAGTTAGCAAAAAGGGAACCTTTACTGGTTCAACTAAGCAAGAGACAGGAAGGGTAGGGCTGATCTATGGGGCTAGATCCAGGCAGGAGGGTCCCTCTGGGCTCTTCATCCCCATTTCTGTCTTCCATCTC